GGGGTAGGTTAGGTGTCGAGTCGGAAGCGATCATAAAACTAAAACAGAGACACAAACTTGACCGGGGCAAAGTCTTGCATAATAAATGCTAATAAAGCTTTACGATGATGTTGGCTAGATAGGAGGATGGTAGGTGGTTCGAAGCGACCCCAGCTGACCCAAGGACACACACACACCCACAAATACACATATGTATGCTAACCCCCTGTTCCTGTTCGGGCGCCACGTAAAAGTTAAACAACACGAAATTCCATTAAGCGAATGGATTGCCATTCATAACTGTCCTCGGGAATGTGTGTTTGTCTGCCTGTGGGTGTATTTTTTGGGTGTGGGTGTGTCGGTGTGTTGGTGTGTGTTTTCTCGTGTAAACAACACCAACTAACAGGGCTACAAAAGTTGCTCGAAAATGAATGGCAACCATTTATTGATATCCAGAAGGAGAAGGGCAAATATTTCCCAAAAAAATATAAACAAAAGGGGGCGAAGGCATACGGTAGGCATGGGTAGGAAAATGTGCGGATCCATAACCTTTTTTGTGTTCATTTTATATTTTAAAATAGGGGAAATTTACTTATACTTTTGCAACGTAATGCTTATATAAGCTATATAATAAATTCAAGGAAAATAACTAAGTAACATATGTTTACTAAACCAAATAGTACAAGAATTAAATTATAATCTAGTTGAATGCCAACGAAAATCGGAATCTTGATTCCATTTAATATAATCAAAGCTAAATATAGGGCTTCAGCTGAATTCCGAGCGAGTAAACCACAGGCGAGCACCAAAACAGAACCGCAAACACCCAAATACACACAACACACACACCCACACACACACATGCATAACTGAGGAGTCCACACACACGGAGGCAAAGAAACGAACAAACAAGGATACAGTGAGGCCCCCCTTTCGCACACCCCTGTCGCATTGCTTTCATGTGTTTACTTTGGACATCGCATAAAGGTGACCAGACTCTGTGATATGTCATTTATTTTCAGCGCTGGCCGCGCCCGCCATTTGTAAACTCAACCGGAAAATTGCTTTTCTCAGCGCGTACCCTTTTTTTCCGCCAATTTTCTCTTTAGTTTTTCCCCTGCTAATGGCTGGCTACAAAAAACTAAGGAAAACAACTAGGGAAAATACAAAATATGGCATTCAAAATGGTTTGGTTTTGTTTGGCTTGGCTTGGTTTTGTTTGGTTTGGTTTGGGGGGTGGTGCAAATAAAGGAATTTAGAGAAAAACTGTTTACAGTTGTAATTAAATTCGCAATCGAGGGGGCCTTCTATTTAATTGTCTGGCATCAACATTATTTTAAGTGGCAGCGGGAGCAGGGCAGCGGGGTGCCTAGCCAGCCATAGGGGGCGTATACGTGATCGTCGAGGCGAGCTCATAACTCATAATACGTATACGCCCCATCGTCTTGGGCCCCGGCTACGTGCCAACTGTCAAAAAGCGGCATCCTGCAGCGAGGATGCCCAGCAAGTCAATAAATAAAACATACATATTGATATGGCCATGTTTTCGTAGGGAAGAACTTTAAGTTATCCTTCCTATTCGTATATATTTTTTAATCCACCCCCTCTGGGTAGGAACCCTGCATTCTACGATTGCTCTTAATTTTTCGTTGCAGCTGCATAAACACATTTGTTGCTCTACCGATTTTATAATGCTCTGCCATATCTCCACTGCATCTGTCGGTTTCCCACACCGCCAAAATAGGCGATAAACGAGGGCAGAAATATGCCAAAGGCGGGCAAATGAAAACCGAAACTAGTTGAGATTCCAACTCAAGTTATGCACATAATAAACCCTGCCCACGTCTTGCTTTGGATGCCTCGCAAAGTGTTTTCTCTCATAAAAATCTGTGGGTATTTACTAAGCCAAGCTTACTTGTATCTTAGCTGAATCATAAGGCTTATCAGAAGAATACAAATGTATGTAAAATATATAATTTATTTATATATAATGTATTCTAAGGAAAGTATACAAATACATATCTGTTCACATATAAATACAATTTAAGAATTTTTAAAGTCAATTAATATACGTATGCTTAAATATAAATATACAAATTAAAAAAATTTTTGAGTCGAAATGGTACAAAATATATTATATATTAATACATATTTTAAAAAAGTAAACAAAAAAATTAACAAAATTTGTACAGATTTTGGTGTATCAATTTGACAAAATAAATACATTTTTAAAATTTTTTCAATAGGATCATTTTAGCTTTTTTCTAGCTGATTTTAGCCCAAACTAGCTAATTTGTGTACAAATTGTAGCCTTTTCTAGCTTGCTTCCCGCCAAACTAGCTATTTTAATATATTTGTCGAATTATAGCTGCGACCAGGCAGGCAAATGTTCAATATATGTTAAACGTTTTTGTTTGCCAATATAAATATTTCCATTGGCTAATCAATTTGTATCTGCCGCCATGCCGATGACGCTCATAAAATGCGCTTGACAAAAAAGAAACACAAAAAACCAAAAAAAAACAATAAGCAATAAAAATAAGCCCTCAAAGTGGAATTGAGAAAAAACAACAATAGCAAATGCTAATCATGAACCAACTATCAAGCAAAGCGCGACCTTGACTTTCATACCAAAAACCTAAGCGACAAACCCCCCTCCCCGCCATTCCATCAGCCCAAGGTCATTCGCAGCTCTTGCCAAACTCCAGTGGATTTCTCTGATCATTTTCGGCTGGATTCTTTCGGCCAATTGACGATTGTCGCTTTTGGCCGCAAATGTACAAAACCGGTAAGAAAAGAAGACAGTCGACATTGACAGGTGGTAATTGATGGGCGAGGGCCGAGTTGTTTCTTCGCTTTTTGGCCCAGCGAAGTTGGCTTTTGATTAACATTCAATTGGTCAACGAGCCAATTGAATTTTTTGTGGGCCTTTTTTTCGGGGGGAGTTGCTGTCGGTTTCACAGAAACTATGATTAATTCGCACCCGAAGGTAATGGTGTTTTGCGTTTGGAAATATGTAAACAACTGTATTGACTTAACAAGCAAATAAAGGTACTTTGGCAATTTTTATATCTGTGTAATTGTAACAAATTACTTCATAGACTTAAACTATGCACTTTTTGATTCTGAAACATTTTTATAAGATAAGGTATATAAGCTTTTAAACCTGGCTTGAATAATAAAATGTCTGCAGATTGCAATCTCTGATAAAAATAAATACATACCAAGTATTTTTTTAGATGATATATCTACGTACATCAGTTCAATTATTAATCTTTTAATTGGGATTTTCCGTAAGATATTGTTTTAACTTATTTCAATAACTAAAATAATTTAACATACAAATAAAGGTTCTTTTAAAATTTTTATATAAGTATGTGCAATTGTAACAATTTATTTATTTATTAATTTTAAGCTCTTATGGATGTTGAAACATTTTAAGATGATGAGATGTATAAGTCGGAAAGCCTTGTTTCATTTTATAATAAAATTATTGAATGTCTGCAGCTTGCACACTTTTTAATGGAAAACAAAGATTAAGATATATTAATAACAAATATAAATGTTCTTTTAATTAGAACAAAGCATCGTTAATTTGGTGAAAGTGTATTTCAATTACAGGTGTTATCTTAGCATATTTGTTAGTTAGTTTACTTATTCAAAAACAATTTCCTTCGTAGTATAATTAATTTTGATTGATTTTTGCTGTAGTTTCGGGAAGTTTCTCGTCTCAAGTGGCAGGCAACATTTCCTCAAGCTGCGTAACTGGAAAAGCCCCCTGTCTTTTTTTACCCGAGATGTGGGGCCTATTAATTTGCACAAATTGCACATATTCGCCACTGCATACTGCCTGTTAATCTCCCTCGCATGTTGCATAACCAACTGCAGTGTGCCGATGCAGGCAGCAGTTTGAAGAAGGGGCGCCCCAAGATGAGGCAATTGGGTCACTATTGTTTACACGCCGCTGCGCATGCGTCGCTGCCTTCTCACTGCCTTTAACTGCCTTCAAAAGAAGAAACCGCAGCAAAACCGATTTTAAATTCACCAAAAATTCAGCCCCAACCATTTGTTGTTTATTCGCTTTTTTATGGAATTTTGTTTCTGTTGATCTCTCGGCTTTTAAGCATTTCAAGGTCGTTGAAGATTTCGTGGGACTTGTTGACTCTATCTTGTTATCTGGGCGATGTGCGATGTTCACCTGTCGAACTCCATGAGACCCCAAAAACTGGAGCAAGGGAAACCGGCTTTAAGTGGTTAATTGAGGCACAATTAATGCGATGCATTTATTGAAAACTGCTGATATATGTATGTTTTTACAGCCTTTTGAAGGTGTTGTTGTGACTTATTAAGATTTCACTCGATGAAATCATAAAAAATTAATTTCGACATGGTTAAAATCAATTAGTTAGATTTTTATTGAAGTCAATGTTTATACATTGTTGAATATTTATTACAGTTAAATGCAGAACACATAATAAATAAATAGTCACAGAGTATTTTTAAAAATAATCACAGAACAGATTTTATTTTTAAAAGAAATTCTATTAATGAAAAATTAAGTGCTCACAGTTTATGATTATTTTTTTGAAAACTTTTGTTATTTCTTTAATTAAATAGTCACAGAGTATTTCTGAAAATTGTCACAGAACGCACAGTTAAAAAAATTGTTTTAAAAATACTTCAGCACTCGAAACATCTTATTATTTAAAGTGTTTAGAGTCAATATGGCAAGTACTTTGTTTTTCTATTTACCAATTTTCATTACACACTTTTTCGCATACTTTTTTCAACACACACTCGTTAAAATCCTTGCCCAACACACGTTAAAAGGCAGAGGTCAGCCATGGGTTAATGTTTGCGCCGCTTGCCAAACTCACGCAGCCCAAAAAAAAAATAAATTCCAAAATATATTTGTAACTTGGAATGCAGCACCGCGGCAACAAAAAAAAAAACCAAAAAAAGAAAAAAATACAATAAAAAATACAACAAAAATTATAGGAAAAACAAACAATGAAACTCACTTTCACGTGGCCCGCTAATCAATCGGCCAATCAATCGAGCACTTCAAAATAGATGTATAACACTCGCTTTGAGAGCAATTGAATTGGTAACCGAAACTTAAATGGGTTTGAAAACAAAAAATCGAAATCGAAACTGAAACTGAATTTTATTTTGGCCGGCAACTTGTTAACTCGGTTACTTGGTTTTGGCGCACGCGAAAGAGAACTAAACGCGAGCGGCGGCCAAATTGTTTAAACTTTATGCAGCCTCAAAAACACTACAGAAAAAAGCATAAAACTGACGTCGCAGTCGACGGCGGCAGAGGCCGTTTCAAAGAGCCAAACGAGGCGGTACGGAGCCCAAAACCTGAACCGCACCGAGACGCCGGCACAGTGAACAAACCACAGAAAAAATATAATTATTCATGCAAATATAAGATTTGTGTAAATAAAAAAAATGTCAATATTTTAATATAAGATACAATTTAATACACAATATTCAAACAAATATAAAAACAAATATTGAAAATATATAAACAAATATTTAAAATCTTGTTCTTGTTGAAAATACGCTTTGATAGACGCCCAACTTGCTTAGATCCGATGCTTTGTTAAAAAGTGTTAAACAAATAGGTTTTTCTAGTATTTCTCAATTTAAAAATTGTGGGCTCGGGATCCTCAAATATTTTATGAAACCAGTTAGTAAAAGCTAAACTTTCTACAAAAAGTAGCTAGTTTGGCGGGAAACCAGATAGAAAAAGCAACAACTAGCTAGTTTGACTTGAAATCAGCTGGAAAAATGTTTAGCCATTTCTCATCAAAAAATTTGATACCAGGGAGTGTCAGAGCTATTTTTGACAGATTACAAATAAATTAAAAGGCATATTTTTTATATTTTTTATATTTATATATTATTTATATGATTTGTAACAAATTTTAAGGTCTTGCACTTCTCCGCTTGCAGCATGTGCATTGCTGGAAAGAATGCGTTTTACGGTATGCGCATTGGGTTTAAATAATATTAGCCATACGCCACCTAGTTGTAATTTTACTATAAATACTTATGATATGTAATTATTTTTAAAGTATTAAGATCATTTTTGGCCAACGGCAACCACTGTGCCAAGTCCGACTTGAGAAGTGCAGTCACCAAGACGTCGACTGAGGCAGCGGCAGCGCTGTCCGCTCGAAGCTGTAAAGTAAACGCTGTAAACGGCACAAGCTGCAAATGCTGCGGAGCACAACAAAAACAACAGAGAGCCACGTTAAGAGCTCAGCTGTCGCGGCTAAATGCTGCTGGCATTGCATAACACCTGGGTAATGGACAACCGCACCATGGGCCTTGGCCAGAGATCAGAAAATCAGAAGTATGAAACAGAAATCAGGGGGCCCCTGAAGTTCAAAGTCTGATAAATGCAGAACTTTTCTCAACTCGAGAATCAAGAACCCATTTAAGAGGGCCATTAAAGGCAGGCCAAGCCATTGTGCTATAAAAAACAAAGGCTTTAAACCCTATCAAAAATATGTTTCAGCTGGACGACAAATAAATCGAAATAAAATAAAATAAAATAAAATAAACGCCCAGCGAATACTCAACAAAACACTTACAAAACGTTTGGGCAATTTATAAAGAAAGAAACCAGCCAACCAGCAATTTGTTTTTTAAAAATGGTAAGCGACAGCAATGATTTTTTAGCCTCCTTTGTTGCTTCTGTTGTTTATGCAATAATCGCACTAATTGAAACGTTTTGTCAGGAGCCACAGCAATAACAACAATAGCGATAACACCATCAAACACAGAGACAATACCCCTTTCCACTTTTAATTGCCTTCGTTTTTATGATAGTGCAAAAAATGAAAAAAGGAAATGCTTAAAAGCGACACATTTTTTGCACTTGCTTTTCGGATAAAACTAATCATTTTTTTGATATGTTTATCACAATGGCAGCCGCCAAAAAAGAGACCAAAAAGCCAACAGCTAAAAATTAAGCAAAATAAAACATTTTCACTACGGATGTAAGTTTGGGCACCGACATTTAAAAACCGGAACCGAAATGGCAACAAGTTCATTGAAATTTATTTAAACACATATGGCCGAAAAGGTAAATAAAAATGGGTCTTGAACTGGGAATACATATTGGGAGTAATAAAAAAAGTATATAAAAGAAATACAATTTTAAATATAATATATTAATATTTAAGGTTTGAATCATTTCAAAATATAATACTTAATTTTATGGCAAGCTAATTCATTTTAAGCCAATAGCCTAATATACCCACCAAACCAATATAAAAAACAAGTCATTGGAATACCCGAAAAAACCTTTAAAAAAATGTACTGAATGTCAATTTGTTATCCATTTTCAGCTTTTCCATAAATTGCGGATAAAGTCCTGTACCAATTTGTTTAATTTTTTTATGTCATCAATTAAGTAATTGTGTAGACTTAAGTTGAGTTGGATAATTGTTAGCCAAAATGCACAAAATGGCCTTAATTAAGACCTCCTGCTATTGTGTAAGCAAATACATTTTTTATTTAATTAGAATACTGTAAATAAAAGAACACCCAGTGACACTTTTGTAGATAAACTTTTATGGCATTAAATGCACAAATGCCGACACCGCCCACATGCCACGCCCATTTGGGTGCGTGGGTAACAGGACTTGGCATACATTTACAGGAACCATAGACTGTTTTTGGAATTTTTAAACAGGCAAATAGACACAACAATGTAGTTCAATTAAACTAACAAAAATTTTTACAACGAAAACATAATTTAGGGAATCAAAAACTTAATTATACTTCATTGTTTTAGGTAAAACTATTAAAAAGTAATAACAAAGGACCATAACTAAAGATTATTATACCACTTTATATACATTTTTTGTTGTTAAGAAATTCAATCATAAATTACTCATAATTGAAACTATTTAAGCCGAATTTAATTGATAATTTAAGTCATCAAAAACTTAACTATGTATTTGCCTATATTATGTTATTATTAAAAAAAAATTATAATTAAAATAACATCATCAAGGATAGCTTTTTTTTATCTACTTTCGTTGAAAAATAATAATGAGAGATCAGGAATATAAAAAATTCAATCTAAAATTACGTATAACTGGAAACTATTTTAGCCAAACTGAAGTTAAAAATGTATGCGATTAAAGTTTACCCATATGAGAGCATATTTTATCCTTTTCAAAAAATCATTTTGGATTTATTAGGATCCCTATGGGCCCTGTATTGTGCCGTCGTATTTGTGCATTTGTTTTGGGCATAAATGAAATATGCATATCGTAATATGCAGTTGGTAAAATGTCGGTTTTTGGTATTTGTTAAAGTATTTTGTCGGCCTTTCCGTATTATTGTTTTTGCATTTGCTCTCGATCCACCTGACATCTCCCCCCTCCTCCTGTCGCCACGAAAGTTTATTCCTCAATATCCCTGCATATTTAAAATATATTAATTTTCCAACAGCAGCACAAAAAAATTTATGCCAAACTCGGAAAACAAAAACAGTTTAAGTTGAATTGCAACTTTTTGTTGCACTCTTTTCGTTAGATTTCAATTTGATTGTCGAACTAAAAGTTCTCCTTCCTTTTATTTCCGTTTCCGTTTATTTTTTTTATTTTTCTGTCGCTTTGCTTTTCATCCATTTGCCACATTTTTGCGAAATACAATTTTGGTCAAAGCTGGGAAAATTCCTCGAGTTGGCAATACAATTTCATATTTGGCAAATAGCTTTTAATTGGGTAAATTATAAGGCATTTCGGTTACAGGTTGCAAAAATTGGTTTGTTCTAAATATAATTATTGACATTTCACACTGGCCATCAACCAAAAAAAAACTTTATTTTCTATGTGCAAATGTCTTTCTTTTGGATGTATGGGTTATTTATTTTATTTATTTTCATATGAACACTTTATGATTTAATTAACATTAAAAATAATTAAATTGAATATGATAAAATATACAATTTTAAAGCACGCTTTCATTTTTACTTTGGGAATTATTTAATAATTTTATTTGTCAATATTTCCTTTAAAAAATAAGCTTGTTAGAGATTTAATAATTACATTGATTTAATTTTATTAACTTAAATTCATATGTTTAATTTATTTCTACGAAACTTTCCATTCATCAGCATTTGAATCCTCTTTTCCTTCCAGGACTTCCAGTTTTCACCTGTTGATTTTTCCTTTCTCGCTCTCTCAGTGACAAAACTCCCCACACTGAAGCCCAACTCCACCACATTCCACAGGACAGCCGAAGTGAGCTCCGTTGGCCATCGTCTTTAGTTGCCTTCGGCCCTTTGAACCGGCAACATTCTCCTGGTCATTTCGACGAAAACGATTTTCCTCTTGCTGGAAAATGGGAAAAACTACTTGGAAATGGGCTGGCTTTTGCCCCACTTCATAACAATGAAAATATAATTTTAGTGCCTAGTAAAAATCCATGACCATGGATAAAATCGTTCGTTGCGCTTCCATTGCTCGCTTTTCCTTTTCCTCGCTTTCCTCTTTTTTCATTTCCCAGTTTTCATTTGCGTGCAGCCAAAATAGGGAGCATCAAAAAAAAAAAAAAAAACAGACACAAAAATGTAGCCAAAAAAAAAATTTTATTATAGAAAAACCACGCGGGAAACTATGAAAATTTAGCTGAGAATGATATTGGGGCCAGTCAAATTTAATTTCACGCTTTGCTGGTTGGCTCTAACCCCCTCACAAATATTAATAAAAATGAAATTCTAATAAACCATGTTAGGGATATGTTTGGTGGCAAAAATAAAGACAGGCAAAAAGAGGTTTTCGAGGACTAGATGATTTTTTCAATAATAGTTTTAAGGCATGCACCCAAAAAAAAAAATTGTCATAGAAACTAAACTATTGTTATATGAATTTGAAACTTTGGGATTGAAAAATTTCTCATTAAGATATTTACTCATCTTATTGAGAAATTTTTCAACAACAAATTAAATAAAATACAAGGCCTTAGACTACAGTTTTAGACTCTTTTCAGTGTATTTAGTATTTTATAATACATTTACTTTTTATACTGACTATTTATTTATTTTATTTTATTTTATTTATTTTCCAGACACACTTTTTAAAACTAAACTTTCAGTCATCGTTCGGTGTGCTCAAAATAATCAGCTTTATGTTTAGGACTTAGAAGCAGCTTAAAAGCATTCAAATCGGATTATTTTTATTATGCTTTGGTATTGATTTCCGAA